AAGAGTGCTTTTTTCATTGGCTGCAGACAAATCCAAGCAGTTACGGCGAAAACCAGATAGCGAAGAAACATTCCTCTTTTTCCCATTTCTGGCTCAGCCAAATTGCCTAACTCTTCTCTTCTCCTCACAGAGGAGAAAGAGAGGAAGAAGAAGGAAAACCACTCTTTCTCCGTAAACATAAACCGAAATCCATCTCTCTTCTTCCCCGTCTGTGTCTAGGGTTACCAGTTCCACCTTTGCCTCTCTTCTTCAACCTTCACGAACCACACATTGCTTCGAGATCGGCACATTCGTTACGATTCTTATCTGAATTCTTCGATTTTACAACGTTTGTAGTCAGATACATACATTTTTGTACAGATTGAGGTTAGTTGCTTATTGTTCTTTCATTTTGATGTGCTTTGAATCTGTTAATCTATGATCGATTCTTCAGATTTTGTCTGTCTGGTTGATCCTAGGGTTTTTTTAAATGAAACAATTTCTGTCGGATTGATTGTTTTTTGACATTATGATGCTAAGAAAAATTGGTTTTTAATTGCTTTGTTGTAATGCATGTTGGACCTTGTTCGCTGTAGTGTACAGATACCTGGCTAATTTTTGTTTCAATGGTCTGCTCAATCGGAAATGGTCGAATGGCGGTCATGGCTAGGCTTATTGAAGCTGGGAAATTATCCCAGAGAAAAGCAGGTATAGTGTGGTTTGGCTTTGAAAATCAAGTAGAAAATTGAAATATGGATTGGTTTAATGAATGGATTGGCTGTAGTTTGTTCTAATTGCGCATAAAAATGGCGTCTATTTAGTAATTGGATGCAAGTAACAAGATGACTGGATAGAATAATATAGCTACAAACATATGTTCTTTTTAATTCTCTGTTCATATCTTTTCTATGGTAGTTTATTCAAAAACTCCTGGCACATAAAAAGCTTGTTTTTCAGATTAAACATGTAGCATCAAAATATTGACATTATTCCCACACTTTGGCAGGGGAAATTGGCCAGCATAAATTAGCTGTGCAGCACATCTATAGAGAATTACGTGAGGCAAATGAACCAAATTTGCTTGATGAAGAAGGTGACTTTTAAATATGTAGATTTTATTGTGTTCACTATGATATGTTTGTTCTTTCTTGCTTGTCATAGAACTTGAAATTGGTATTTTTCCCTTCCTTCTGGTTTTACATTGCGACACTTTATCTATCTCTGTCTTTCCCCCCTACCTCTCTTGTTTTGTAATCTTGTTTAATTATTTAATATAATATATAAAAAAATGTAAATTATCCAAGTCATAACATATTTTTGGTTTCATGATGGATAAAGAAAAATCTATGGCTTGTTTAGTTATTAATGGAGGCAGTAATATTTGCTTGTAAATTTTATCTGATTGTCATTGGGCAGTAAAAACAAAACTTAATTATATTGCGAGCAAATTTTTATGTAAAATCGTTTTTCTTTTTTTCTTTTTTCTTTTTTTTTGTCAAATTGATGGTAAAAAAGAAGAACATGTGCATGTCTCAGCCTCTTTTCAGAAGTAGAACTTAAAAATTAGAAAATAAAGGGAACAGAGACACCATTGTGATCTTATGGTTCAAAGTAGTTTCCATTACTTATTTGCTTGCTGGATAGACCTGTGCTTTATAAATTGTGATTAAATTTAGTGCTATTTCTCTGATGGATTTCTCCCCCATTTTTACAGACATGCACATCTTTGGTTTGAAGCCCATGGTTGATCCTTTGCATTTGGTAATTTTTCAAAGTTTTAATTCTGCATTCATTTCATTTGTCTTTGCAGTTTTCTGTTACAGCAGCATTTTCTTTAAGCTTATGGGCTTTGCCTTTACCTTGTAGGTTAAGTTGTAGCTAGTGGCTTCTCTTGTTGAGCTTTTCATTTGATTGATCTGTTGTGCATTTGTCTGTGTTATGCAAAATTTCACGTTTAGTAAATTTTTTAATTATTTTATATTATTTTCTAGGTATGCTGCAATGCTTGCAAGAAGCCAATCAAGGCCAGTCAATATGCAGCTCATGCAGGTTTGGTGGAGTTTCCTTCTCCAATACCCCTTCCCTTTTCTCAAACTGAAAACTGCACACAATTTCTATACCTGGCTGTTCATGCCATACAGGAATAGAATAATAGATAGTAAAATTAAAACCAATTACTAATATTACTTAATATCTTCTTGGATGATTTCCAACATCCTCATGGCAAACAGCATTTTATCTAATGGAAACCTTCAGGTTATAATGCCCTTATGAGTAAAGTTAGTTAACTCTCCACATGCTTGAATCCACCTAAAGGTAAATAAAGACTTGATTATCAATCATCCTTAGCATTTTTAATTTTACTGAGCATTTTTGCATATTCAATGTAAATTATTATTGAGTGTTAAGTATTTATTACAAAGTTATTTCTGAACAGTTTAAGAGGTATTTATTATTGTTCCAGCCTAAATTTGTCATGTTCATACCCTAGTTGTTTTGGTGTGACCATTAATTATGACTGTTCAAGTCTGGGAGTCCTGGTGCTTCCCTGTAATTTTATCTTTCTGACTTTTCCAGAGCTTTGTAGCTCATTAAGAACCACAGAAGAAAGTGCTTTGGAGATAGATGGTGGTCTAGGCCGAAGGAAGCCTCCAAGGAAGGAAAGGAAAAAGCCTGCTGCTTATACCAGTATCCTTTCTTGCCATTTGTGTAGTTGTTCTATGACATTTAGGATTGTACATGTGTACATGTTGAAGGAAAAGGTACTGAAGGTCCCTGAACTATTTTGGTGTTTTTCTTTTGTAATATACATGAACATAAAAGTTTGAAGGGAAGAAAGATAATATCAGTTTTCTGAGATATTTTCTTTCAATGAAAAATTATTTTTCAGAATGTCTTGTATTTAGTTTTCAAGGGAGTTTCCTACATTTGCCTTAAATAGAGGATGTTTGAGTTTTATCATTGATCAATATTTTCCTTGACCTTCTTTAGACCAACCTACACCAGGTTTGGAGCAAGAGAGATATGAACTTATTAATATTGATGATAGTACTGCCTCAAAATCCCATGAAAATGGGAAAATTTCCTATTCATTCTCTATGGATTCAAAAAGTAAGTCTATGTTTTTGATTTTTGGTCTCTTTTGAATAGCTTAATTTACATGACTTGGGCTTAATAATATTCTTTCCAATTCTTTTAGGAAATTCCTCTATTGTTGGTAAGGAGTCTATGATGGATAACTTAAGAGCTAATCATGAGAGTAGAGACCACTCAGCTTCTGTAGTGCTACCTTCAGCTAAACGCTCTAAATTGTATGCTACTAGTTTAATTTTCTTAATGATTTATTGATTTGAATGTTTATTTTATTATGTTTTAGTAGTTGAGAGGTGCATATTATTTTATTTTAATTATATCATTATATATTATCCATTAAATGCTCGTTCTTTTCTATCCTCTCTCTCTTCATTTCTTATGCATGGTTGTAAACCATTTCTAAGAACTTTAGTTCCCCCTTTTCTTGTCCCCACTCTCCCCTTACTCTTTTTTTTTCTTTTTCTTAATGGAGGTGAGGAGTGTCTTTTGGCCCGTATCTTCAAAACTCATAGATTGCATCTGGAAACAATTTGTTGATAATGATTTTTAGTGGCTGAATGAATAAGATTTTCTTCTCAATCCAGCCGTGTGCCTATTCATGTGACTTTTATAGGTGAATAATTTTGCTTTTATGAAATATTTGAGGTGTGAGATTGTTTGTCCTTAATCTGAGCCATGTGCTTAGTCACCTAGCTGGCAGAAATGATAAAGTTTGCTAAGTAAATTAAAAACAAAATCAATTAGCCTTTATGAAAAAAGCTTCTACTCAGTATTGCACTTGAAATTTGTTGTCTTTGGCCAAATACCAACTTTGATATGACTTGTGTGTTTCTAGCAGTGTTGCTAATGCAGTGTTTTCTCTCTGTTTTGCAGGATGGCTGATGAGTGCATTCCAGCATTGGATGTTCCAGAAAATGCTTCTGGTTTGACCAGAATTCAAAACACCCAAGATATCTATGCCTGTAAGGCGAGGTTTTTTCTTCTTGTTGCTATCATTCTTTTTCATGACCCTCGTCAAGTTTTATTTTTCTTTTCTATTATTATTTTTTAAAGATATAGAACCTAGTCAAGTATAGCTAATGGAGAATGCATTCTCCGACTGAGCAATATCTGCTCTTTTTGGCATCTTATCATGTATACAAGTTACTTCCTATTAGGTTTCTACTTAGCAATGGCTGTTAACATGATTGGCTTGCTAGTCTATTTGGTTGACTGGTTGGAATCAAGTAAAACCCAGTTCCATTTTTCACTCCACCACTGTGGCTTTGGTTAAATTCTGGATTTTATATTTACACATCAAACTGAACTTCAACTTTTTGTCTCCAACATTTACTTTTTCACATGTGCATCCATTTTTTTCATGCATCTTTACAGCTAAGGGTTCCTCTGGAAGAAGAATTTCAGGCAGTAAAATACTAAATGATATACATGAAAACTGTGGACAAGTCCACAAACATTTTCTGCAGACAAAAAGTAATTTTCGCTACTTTTGGTTTGAATAGTATCTTCTGATTGCTGCATTGGACCTACCTTGTTCAATTCTTGGTTTTGAATGCTTTATGGTTCCACATTTATAGCAGGTGTTCCAGTTCCTCTTGCTACCAAGATTTATTACTCTCAAAGAAGCAGTCGTCTTCGCTTGGCAATTAGTCATCAGTACCATGATGCATGGACCAACGAACTGTCTAGTGGTGGACAAGCATCACAGCGAAACATGATGCTGTCAAAGACATCATCACAGGCCTCTTCACTTGAGCAAGGGAGTGATCTACTCATCAAGGAGGTGTGCCCTTACTCACTCTGCTAACAGAGACTTACCTTTAGAATCTGTATTCTTTTGAGAGGGTTGGAATATGACTTTGTAACGTTAGTGAAGTTCCTGCATGTTAGTGATCTCATTAGTTTCATTTGTCTAAATAATCAAACCAACAGGGTTGAAGGAAACTAAAACTAATCTGACTCTTTTTTATCCTTTATAAAACAGAAAGGACCTTCTGCACAGAAACCTGATCAAACTCTTGCACAAAGTTCAGAAGTATGCTTGAGTGATCCTGGAAAACCACCATCCAGTAACTCTTTAAATCAGCTTCCCCTTGAGAATGTTCCAAGGTCTCAGGCTGCCTCTGTTGGATTTACAAAAAGCAGATATATTACAAATGCTTATAATTTCTCAGGCAACTCAGGTAGTCTACTAACGGTTTCTATTATTGTTTTAAGTTTGAATTCTTTTACCTGTGCAATGTAGTTGCTTACATTGAAGCTTAAGTGGACTACCTAAATTCAAAAGTGATTGATAACTTGTTTAGTGATTTGGATACACAAACTTAGTGGCTCTAACTATATTCCAAATCTTATAATATTGGGCTTGTTATCGTGTCCAAGTGATACTGAGTATATTTTCTCAAGCTAGTTAGTTTCTAATTTTCCTTCTGATTGTCCAGTTTCCTAATTTAGTTGTTGGTGAATGCCATGAATGCTGGAAATAAGCTGCATGTGTTGGTGTTTGTTTTTTGTTTTGTAGGAGAACTGATGGGGACCATGCAGCAGCCAAACGGCAGTGTTCCTGTTGTATAGAAGTCCTGGTAGAGATTTAATTTAACTAAACAAAGGTGTATTTAGCCATACATGAGGTTAGGATCCATTTTTGATTTTGAGAAAGCATATCGCTCCAATTGTTCATTCTACCATTCTAGCCTACTTTGTTATCTCACTGTTTATATTTTTATGGAAATAAAAGAAGTATCTACTATCCCTCTATCCTTTAGCCATGTAGTTTCTTTTGTTATCCTAGAAATTTAAGCGCATTCATGATATATACTCTGAAATTGGAAATATGTGTACGTGACTATAAATCAGTGCAGAATAATGACATTTGGAATTTAGGTTTCTTGCAAACTCTCTGCTTCGTGGGACAAAAGTAATCTGCTAAGATAGGTCACAAACTTACGAGGGGAATGATTTCAGAGTTTGACTTGAGATTTTTTGACATAATTCCTCGTCACCATCAATCAACTTAAGAGCAGGGTTAAGGAATATGGTATAGCTTTCAAAGTGTGCCACTCGTGCTGTGGCTATTGGCTAATAAGGCTGCTAGGAATGTGACTTGTTTCTCCTATGCAAGGAAAAATCTTGCGACTGGCAGGACCAGCCAATGCCATGGCACAAGTGCCAGTCAATGCCATGGCACAAGTGCCAGTCAATGCCATGGCACAAGTGCCAGTCAATGCCATGGTACAAGTGGACAGAAACTGACCTGCACATCTTCTTGTCTTCATGCCATGGGTTCGTTAACTGATCCTTGTTCTGTTGTGGAGAAATTTCTGGTGTAGTGAGAACAAATATCTTGTTAATCTGGCTCGATACAATGGGCCAATAAAACTGGGGTATCTAGATTTCACATTCTTGTACCACCAAGAAAAAAAAAATCTAGATTTCACATTCCAACACTTTTCTCAATTTGGCACGCGAGGATAGTGTTCTTAGCTATTGCTGACATCTTTACAGGCAATCTTGATTTCAGAATAAGGTTTTAAAGTTAATGAATATCTAATATTAACCTATTATAGTATTTTTATTTCTAAGAAATTGCTTGGTGAAAGCGCCGGAGGGGAGGGAGGGGGGGTTCCTTTTGTCGTGTGGCTGTGGATGTTACTCTCTTCATGCTGAAAAAGTTGGATACTTTGAATATCTATCATCTAGCAATCGCATTGAAAGGAGAGCTCATTACTTGGATCTTTCTTAGTTCTTACCCACTTGCAGTTCACTGTAACTAAAATAGACTATAGTTCGTTCCAAGAACCATCATCTATCATCTCTTACCTCAATCATATCTCCGTTTAACCACAAGATCTCTTCCCCCCTATCATCAGTGTAGAATCAGGGTGCAATTTCTGTTTTGATTTGTTTATTTATTTTGGGAAACCATTATTTGAGGCTTTTCCTTTATCTCCTCCTTAGGGTTTACGTCTTTGACATGGTGAGTTGCCCATACTCCAAAAAACTACAGAAAAAAAGTGGAAAAAAACAGCATCTTCAGTGGAATTTAACCCCACAAAACACACACGCATGTTTTCCATTTTGCCATCTTATAAATTGTAGAAGATTCTATATTCCTACCAACCATAATTATGCTCATGTTGATTTAACCTCTCATCTTATCTTGCTTTGCTGGCGTTTTGATTTGAGAAGACTAATAAGCAAAAAAAATTGACTCGATTTATCATTTAATTTGATAAGGCTGAATTAAATCTTGAAAGTTTTTTTTTTATATATGCAGTTCATGGTGTGGAAATATATTTAAATAATCTTAATAAAAAAAATTTAATTAAATTCTTAATAAAAAAATTTAATTAAATGTCAACGTTCCTCTTTTTGTTTTTTTCCCAAAAACAAACACTATAATTCGCCCATAGACTGAGATTGAGA